TAAATTCCTTGTAGTGCCGAGCTGGCAATCTCTAGCCATGTTTATTGAAAGTTTTGTCATCCTAGATAACATCACTTTTCTTCCTGGATGAGAACACGCTTATTATTTCCAAGAGAATATCTCACAAAACTTATCAAATCGTCACGCAACTGAAATTCAGGGGTACGAAGACAATTTTGAATCCTTTATATTACGTTAAACAAAGCTTTTTTGGACTTCATGCTTCAAATGATTTCTTAAGAAGTTATTCAAAATCTCAAACGTTTTGGTAAAAATATTTCGTTTCTTCATAATAATAATAATAATAATAATAATAATAATAATAATAATAATAATAATATATTAAAGTTGTAAAGAGAATTTTGATTTCTCTCCTATTCAGCTTCCAGTGAACGGTACCAACGGTACCTAAAAGAAGGATAAAAAAAAAGAGAAAAAAATTAAGAGTGAAGGCCACTGTATATTGAATAAATCGCAGCTCTCCTATATTAATAAAAAGCTACGACATTTGTGTTGTTTGAAATGCGCGACTAGAATGGAAACGGGAAGATGGCGTTTTGCGCAAGTTCTCGGGAAATGGATCTGCAATTGGTCTTGCAGTTAGCCTAGCATGTTGTGTGATTGTTGACACGATTGTTTGTGACTATCAACTGTAAGTATTCAATGTATTTTCTTGTACGTATGTCTCATTATTGTGATATCTATGGAAAACTTTAAAGAGGTGAGGGAATACTGATTATTATTTGGAAATTGTATTTCATACATTTTGTCGCATTAAGGTAAGGTTCATGGCAAGATTTGCTGTTAGACAAGGTCACCAATGTTTTTTTCAATGAAAAGGACGAAAAATTTAAGAAAAAATATAACGTAAATAATTTTCACACATCAATTCAAACAAAAATACACTAATTATGCTTACATCCATTTTAATTATTTAATTAAACGAATATTTTTGCCATTGAATGAAATTCTTCCGTTAATATAATGTTCAATACATGTTTTAACAATATATTGGAAATTTAGGAGCCACACTCTCACTCTCACTCTATATATATCAATATCTCTATCTATCTCTCTATATCTCTATCTCCCTGACGAGAAACCTGGCTACGTCCACGCCTCGTCCTTATAGTAAGTCAAATCCCGAAATATAGTGCTTCGCATTACCGAATAGAAAATTTTCTTCGGATACAAATGTAAAACGCAAGGCTTTGAATAATTGTTGGAGTTGGGGACCAAATAAAAACTGATCTTTAACAAACCGGAGTGCGACAATCCTCTGTGACCGGATTTCAGGAATGGCAAGGCGTGTTTCAGTATGTACCACGTAAGTAATCCTCTGAAGATTATCCTCGGAGTCTTTTCAGCAACGTTTTGTCACGGAGGACGATTTTTTATAGTGTTCCGACGAGACACAGATCGCGGCGGAATTCGGAAATCATATAAAACACTTTCTACAGATATCCGTGCCTCAGAGATCAAAACGGTGCAGAATTATTAAGGGTACTCTGTTGGTATGCTTGTAACATACCATGACTAATTCTGAGTGTATTCCATCTCAGCAGTAATACTGTTTTAAACTTCTGACCTAAACAATAGTCTCTCTTTGTCTCTTTATTTGATAAAATTTGTGTTTTAATTTTCTTCCCCAGACTTCCTGGATTCTTCCTTTCTCCATTCAATCGTTTCACTGAATAACATTGTACTATATGTTCACTAACGAAAGAGAAGGCTTCTATTACATACGAAGAATTGATAGTTGTACCTTTATGAGTGTGCCTTTATGAGTGATAGTAGCAGTAGTAGTAGTCGTCATCATCGTTTTTTATTGATGTGTCCGGGCGCGTCAATTGCTAAGGACATTAGTTCTTTACGTGTAGTGCATATTTTTTTCTTGAGAAGTAGCGATTATCTTCCCTCGTTTGATAGCAAGATCCGACATGTCGAATTATCGGGTTTTCTCCAACCAGGTGTCTCCCACCAGCGGGGCATTTTCACAACCGCGGTAAGCTCTAAGCTCCCGATTGGTCTCCAGACATGTGGTGGTGCATTGCATGTAACTGTATGTGTAAGGGATGTGAATATGACAAGGAAGAGGAAGGAAAGATCACGCGCGGTCCTTGGCCCGCTTGTTCTGCTCTGGCATTCGCCTGGTTTTCATTGAAGAATACAACCGATCAGTGCAGCCGGCCACTAGAATTCTCCTCCAGTGATTGAATTCGACCTTGCTCTGTAGGTAGTGTCGAAAATCCTGCCACCGACGGGACTCGAGCCCTGTGGCCTCCCGGCCCGAGGCGCTTTAGTGACAATTGATGCCCTGAGCCACCTTTGCTGATCGTCGTCGCTATTACAATGAAGTTTCCCTATTTTTTATTCATCCAAGAAACATAACAGAAGAAATGTGTACTCATTCGAGTATCACAAACATGCTTGTCATTCTGACAGTTTTGCATTGTAATTCAGAAGAATATTTTAAAAACTGAAAATAAAAGTTGGTGAAATATGCGTACTGTTAACATGAGAAGTATTTTGTTTCGATTTTCGAAGATATTTCTTTTATGTAGCCGCTGATTTTTATTGCGATGAAAATTACAGAGCTGATTTCATTCTGAATATTCTATTCCATTTTTAGTTTATCAATAATGCATTTTTACATAAATCAATAATGCATTTTTTTAATGCTAGTGGTGTCGATATTTTGATAAATATTTTTGGTAGTTGATATTTATTTACCACTCAAATTACTTCGTATACTAATTTGAATTATTGACATTGTTACTCAGAGTAGAGGTTGCACTACTATGTGCTTATGTTTGAATTTTGAAAATCTAAAGCTGTTAATAATAACAGTAGAATTGGGTCTTGTTTAATTCTTCTCAAAATTCTAGAACATGGCTTTAGATGAAATAGAGCTACAGACTACATGATACAGACCTGCTTTAGTTGCTGAAGAACTGAGTCACCTTTGGACATGGGAAAGGGACTCAATTCCTTTTTTGATTTTTCACGTGGAACTTTCGGTCACTGAGAGGGGTCCCATCTTCCGCACAGTGTATATTTCGTATTCGTCTGTCTGCTGCGTCTGTGTGTTCGCGTCCGGCGGCGCGACGTGGCTTCAAGCATAATAGTGCTCCATATTCATGATGACAAACAGGCTTTATTAGCTAGCAAGCTAGGCCCTTTGTTCAGCCGACCGCAGAGCCATTACCGGGAGCCACTTACAGAGTCTTTCCCCATCCGCGTACACATCACACTCACTTCCCTCCCGCAGGGATGCCTTTTATAATAGGCACCAAAGTGCCCGTAGTAATGTATACACGGAATTTTGAATCAAAACCCACCCACACTAACGTGCACATAGACGCACACTTGCCACTCTCCGTGGAGAATTCCATCAGCATCTGGTTCTACAGAGAAAGTTGGTTTTAAGCTGATTTTGTTGTTTTGGGTAGGCGCAGAAGGACTCGGGAATGACTTTTATGGGATTGCCTTGGAGTTTTCACGTGCTAAAACGTGTATTGCAGCACGCCTTGTAGCTATTTTCGTGTGCAATGCTGTGCAATAGAATTTTAGAAATGAATGTAGCAGATTGTAATTTTGAAAACAATTCGGTTTTTGAAGTTATTTGGAATGCCTGTTATCGAATCGATTATGAAGTCTTCATTGATTTCTGCTTTCTTGTCTTTTCACTTCAGCTTTTCTGATGTTACTTATGGGATATCTGTCAATTTATTTTGTCTTGGAAGTTTTACAGAGACGTTTTGTATTTTAACAATAACTGTACTGATTACAGGAGAAATTATTGTTCTCATGGATTGCAGAAAAGATAATATGGAATTCGATATTTCAAGTAGAGTATTGGGTGAGAAGCTGATAAGCATATATTGGAGAAATATATAAACTCAAGTTGTGGAGTAATGTATTCAGTGAAGAAATCATTTTTTTCTACACAATATTTTTTAACAACAAAAGTAATAGTTTATTTATCTGAATTTGTGTATTCTATTATCATTTTTTCTAATTTATCATATAATGTAACTCGTTTGTATATAAAATGATCATTTCTTAATCAATTTCAAATTAAGGAAATTTAATATGAAAATAGTACATCCTAAATTTATTGAAAATTCTCATAGATTTTGAAAGGAACACAAAAAAAAACTACTCATAAGAATAGGTGCTTTCAAAACGTTTCTATCACATTTGATCAATATTGTGTTTTTAATAAGTTTCTCTACCATTTATGAAAATTTTGTAATGATCTAAAAATCACTAATTAACTCAATAATGTGATTATTTGTTTCATATGATGTAATGTGAACCCAATAAAAAAAGAAAAAAGGAATTGATGTGAAATAAATTGGATCTTTTTTTAACTATTTGTTGATCCCTGTAATTACCATTGCAATTGTTTATTGCAATTGCAATTTTACCGTGAATTAATTAATATAGGGTCCGTATGGAAAGCCAAACAAATCTTAAATCATGTCATCAAACTTTGCTAAATTTTTTGAATTGTCTCAGGGACTCGAAATAGAATAAATATTTATTGACGAAATCACAATAAAAGTGTGAAAAAGATGTTACAGATTTCTCTCTTGTTTTAGAATAACATTTTATTTTGGTGTTAACAAAACTGAGCTTTAATTGATCAAAAATTTCATTGAACATTAAGCTTCTTGCTATGATATCTTCTTACTTCCGAAAATCTCAGTAGTACTTACTTTAGAACCATTATACTTAAAAACGTTTTCTAATTAAAAATATATATAAAAAAGAGAAATTTTAATTTCTGAAGCAAACACTAATTTTTACCATAGTACCTTATGCTTTCTTCATTGCTTTTAACCTCATCTTCAATGATGATTGTTAAGGATTAAATTTTTTCTCTTTCATGCAGGAGAATAAACCGAATGCCATTTTTTCACCAATATAATATATTTTTAAAGTAAAATTTAATGGAGATTTTGTAGAAATTAATGGTGGAAATGAAAACATTTTACAATTATTATCAGATATCTCTTTAATTCTTTACAATAATTGAATCTTCTATGTCTAGTGTACATGATATCAGACCACATTACTGGTAAGAAAATAGGCTGAGGTTTGTGGATTAATTTATGAAGTGTTCTGAAGTCAACAGTGAGTATTGGATGGACATGAGAACACAAGGATGTGAATGAGAACATGGCAAGAAAAGGCGGAGAGAGGTGGATGAGGCAAATAAGGAACTGTTGTATTTTAGAAATAATAATGGATGCAATGCATGCATATTCTTTGGATATAAAAATATATCATTACAATGGAAAACAATAATTCAAAGAAATACAATGCGTGGGAATTGTATTGCTCAATATTTCTTTGGTAGAAAAGAAACAATATTACATTTGACACTCCTAATAATGAAAACTTGAATAATAAATAAAATATTGAAATATCTTTCTCAAGTTCTATTCCTTCTTACATACAATAATATTTATTGTGCATATCTGACATGGAAACCACAACATGAAGAGTGCTTTTTCACTCACTGACTAGGACTGAAATTGGTTTCTTCATTTCACGGGACCCTAGTTAATATTTCTGTTTGTTACCAGTTATTAAGTTGATCATACAGAGGAAAAACAAACTGTATATTTCCTCATAAATAATAATACAATTGCACAAATAAAAGAATCCATTCAATCCATTCATCACCATAAAGAATTAATACTCAGCCTTAAAAAGGCTTAAATCTGCAACATTTATCCATGTAACTCTACCAGATGCAAGATATACACCAAGCTAAACCTCCTGAATATAGTATAACTTAGCAGTGAGTTGAAAATAAGGACTTAAATATACAAATGAAAATGTTTCCTGTTTTATATCCTCAGGAAGATTCCAACATATGTAAATAAGTGATATGTAATTTTCTTAATACAGTACTATTAAATTTCATTTAACTACTGCATTTATATTTCATCTGTAGATTTTATAAATAAAACAGGCATGTATGAATGTACTACAACAAAAACTTTACGCAAAACTCAAGATTCTGTTCAATCTCTCATGTAACTGTGATCAATATGCAGATTTGTAACTGTCTTATGCAGAGATTATCCTGGAAAGTGAAGATTTTGGCATGAAAGATTCATCTGCCATCATGTACAAGATAATGTTACCGTAATTAAGATATGCTCATACACTTTCAATTTTTTCACTGTGTTAATTTATAATTTTAAAAACTTCCAATTTGTTCTGAAGACATTAAACATGATGATTTATTAAAGAATTTAATTTGAGATGTGCTCTTGCAAATAAATATTCTTTTGACTTGTGATTTTCATTAAAAATACAAAATAACATCATTTAGAACTGAATAAAGGAAATATTATCTTTTGCAAATTAACATTTCTTTCTTTTAGAGAGCAGTTTATTACAATAGTCTTTGTAATTCAATTTAAAAATATTTTTGAAGCAATTTAGCTTCTTTCTATACCTGTTACCAGTTTAAAGTAGTTCTCTTGAGATGAGAAAACACAATTCATTATTACATGATTCTAAACCAATTATTACACATTCCCTTCAAATATTGTTAGGAGGATTTATGCTCAGTGACAAGATAAAAAAAATATACTTTGAGATAAATATTTAGTTTATATTCTGAAGATGCACAGAAATTTTATCAACTTGCACTTAAGAAAGAATAATTGAAATTTGCTTCCATCTGTTGAAATATAAAAAAGTACAATATTTCAAGAGAGCATGAATCCACCTTTAAGGTTTACAAAAACCCATGGTGATCTCTGAGAACATTAGTTAATAGTATGCCTGTCCCACTTTTCAAATCAAATTTGTAAAGCTTCCATTGCCTTTGAGGATTTATTATTTTGAAATATATAAGTGCTAGTGAGTGCATGGTGGTCTAGTGATGGGCAGTGATTATGTGTGAATAGGTGAAGGTGAAGTGTTTTGGTGAGCAAGTGAATGAGTGAACAAGTGCATGTGCAAAAAATGGTGGGATAAAACATAGTACAACTAATAATTATTTACACATTATGACACAAAATGAGGCTGTACGGCAGGGGGTGAAGAAACAAGTCTTTGGTTTTCATGAATACAAAAAAATAAAATGATAAATCTTCTCTTCATGGATGATTCTAATTTTTCTTGTGGATAGTTATTTGATGTTCATTCTGTTGTTTCAAAAACACATTTTACTAAGTAACAAAAATTAAATTAAATATTTTATGTATTTCATTCATTTTGTGAGGCAGTTTTTCTGTCATCATAGTCTTCAGAGTCTATGTTCACTAGCTATTATGAATTGTTTATCTACAATAAGGTCCAATATTACTTAAGATTCTGCGCAGTTATTTCACAGTCACAGCACCTTCAATTCTCTGGTTGCTAGTTTCTGTCCTTAAAGAGGTAGCATGTTTACAGAATCTTTTAGTGCAGGCACTGCATGCAGTATGTTGAAATACTATACTTATCACAAATGTTTCTGTAATAGACCTCGGATATGACATTATTGCAATAAGTAATGAAAGTTCATTTTCTCATTGGTCTTGTGTCACACTGATACTGTTAACAAAAACGTGATAATTTGGTATTGTCTCTTCAGAAATTGATAATTGATCACTTCTTTGCTGATGCACTGATTCACTCTTCTGGATTTTTTACTCAATGCAGTATGAATCTAAGAGGATTCTGTACTGAGATCCAAGTTCTTTTTACCACTACTGCACAAACTTAACTCACAACCAATCATCTTTTTCATTATTTGCAAAAGGTTGCTGCAGACATCTTTGGTTTCATAGCTTTGTGACTCTTGTGAGATCTTGCGGTGCTGTCAGCCCATGAGAAGGTCGGTAGTTATGTATTCGCTCTTCATGCAGGCACTGCCTGTCGGAGAGGAAGCACTTGCTCCTGAACTCGCACGCGTTGCTGCCAGAGGAGAACGAGCTTCTGTACCATTGCTTGCACTGCTGCCACCAGTACTGTTGCTGCTGTTACTGTTTCCATCTCCAGCATGGGCACAACTTGCAGCACGTGTGAATAGGTTCTGGTTCAACCCTGCACAGGAAGTTACTCCATTTCCATAATGGTAGTACGATGAGCCACCTGAAACAAGAAGTCGACATGATAAGAGAGTGAAGACGAAACCAACGTTCAGGTGAATGTATGTACATCTATAAATATGTTACAACAAAAGGGTGCTTGAAGTGTTCAAATGACCATTATGTAATTGTCAATACAGGAAGGAATTTTAGTTTCACTTGATATTGTGTATTCGTAGAATACTATCTAGTACACGTGGGCCCACATAGTACTACGTATAATGCGTCTTTATATCCTTGCACCGAGGTGCCAAAAATAATGAGATAACGATAAGGAAATACTTCACTTCGGGATAGCATTCCGGAAACTTAATAGTGCGAAGCATCACAATGGGCATCAGTTGGGCTTCTATGTGTCAATGCAAAGTCGCGACGGAAATTATCAGAAGTAAACGACGGTAATAATCAGAATTTGAGTTAGGGATGATGGGACTCATGATGATAGTAGGCGCCTTGCTTCATGATAGTATACGGTAAATGAATTGATTTCCAGAGAAGATCGGAGTGGAGTGAGCATTCCTCGTTCCACAGGGTCAATGGTATATCGCGAGTTCCGCATTGAAGGGAGTTCTTTCCTTAATCAATGCAGCGGGCGACCTCGGGTGCTGAACAACTGCGACCGGACAAATCTGAGCACAGTCGACATCAAACAGGCTAGCTAGATGAAAAGACAAAAACAATCAGCGCAGGACAATTATGTCTTAAGAGGGCAGGGAACGCAATTTTGTTTAGCGCAATTTTGTGTCGATAGGATATAGCAGACCCATAAGAGTGCCATTGCTAACAGCGTACCATCGGAAGCGGTGCCTTTCTTAGGCTCACGAGAACTTGATTTACATGACATGGTATGGGTTTTCTGCTCAGACTAAATCTGACCTTGAACAAATCGTATCGTAAACGCTATGTTCAGCTATTGGTGACTATTTCCATTGTGGTCTTCGTACACCGTGACCGTGATAGAATTTTCCAGGATGCGACTGCGCGCAAACTACAGTGAAATTCGCAGGTTTTTTTTGAGAAGCACTATTTTTTGAGACGAGACGTAACGTACTACATAATTAATGGAGGATTACTCTCGTGCAACAATTTAAACTCCGAAGATTTAACAATTAAAGTATTTAAATTTTAAAGAGCACTCCAAAAAGCGCGACGCGCTCAACGCACCCCAAGGGGTTTGGAGACGCGTTGCATCTAAGTTGACGCAACAGATACATTTATAAAAAAAAGCATTCTAGAGAATTCCAACCCAAGATTTGGTCACCTATCTCACCAGTCTCGAATCCGTAGATCATTGTGTTCTTGCGGATTCACAAGGCCCAAAGCCGTACGTGTTCCGTATCCTCCACTTTCAACTATCACAAAATTATGTGCGGCTATTGAGACGGCATGGCTATACGCCTCGTTCGAGGTTTTTTGTTGATTTATGGGTTGCATGTCAATAACTGCTGCCCTTCGCATTACTCAGGGATGCCCTGCACGGATTTAGGTAGGTATCTTATTATATAATGACTTTTGGCACCTCAGTGTATATAAATACGTACCGTTTGTACTATTTACATTATGTAATGGGTATTGAATTTTTAAAATTTCATTAATGTTTTTAAATAGTTTTTATTTTGAAGTCCAAAAAAGTAATTTGAAGAATAATCAGATCCGTAGAAATAGAATATTTACATATATAATTTTAAATGTCCAACAATTATTTATTAATATTAACCTTCTAATTTAAATTTTAAACACTATTTTCATTCATTTATTCTATATATAAACATTTTTTTGATCATTAGTTCTTACAAAGTATTTTTAAAATTATCTTTCTCTTGTTTTACTAGCATTAAGATGTATGATCTGCATGAACACAAAGCTACTGGGATCATTTTAAAATTTTGAATGAAATTTATAAGGGTAGTAGCTGACATAAAGTATGTACAGATTGTAATTTTGCATGATGGTATCCACTACAGCAATAGATTAATTTTTATAAAGACCGACATTGATGAATATTTAAGTAGTAATCTAAAACTACTCAAGAAATACAGTAATTCATTCTTTTAAAAATGGCTAGTGGCATTAAAACTTATTGTCTTTTTGAATCACAAGGTCAGTTGTAAGAAAAAGAGTAAGAACAGAAAGTGAAAGAAATGGTGCTTGACAGGTATTTGTATGGGTGTAGGAGTAGGAGATTATAAGGATGTGAAGGTGCAGTGCTCAAGTGAAGGCTCTGTAATTCAACACCTCAGAAATATACACATTTTCATGATAAGAAATTTTGAACCATAATGTTCTTGTGCCCTGAAAAAATGTGTGATTTTTTTCAATTATTTACATTTTACTAGTGCATATAAGAGGAAGCAAGGAACCATATAAGCCTTGTGTTTAATTCAGCAATGTGGTAATAACTATCCACAACCACACCCATAATTTAAACTTAAAGGATTTATTGTGCTCTTTTGATAGCAGACCTTTTGCTCTTGGTTGTGTCAGGAGTATTGCTTTCATTTGAAGAGAATTATTGGTTATTTCAGATGAGCACCATTCCATTTAGTAGGCTATTTTATTTCATGTTAATTATTGCATTTTTACATTTTGAAGATGACGAAATGTTGTGACAATACAGAAATACTGTATTACAAAAAAGGCAAAGAAATATTTTTGCGAACAATGTTTTCTCTTTTGTAACAGTAAATTTCGACAAACTGTTGTGAAAATTGGGTAGCACATTACCAGCACAACTTACAGAAGAAAAATTTGTATTGTGTGCAGAGTGCAATAATACAGAAACTTGTAAAGATTATGTAGAGCCAGCCACCACTAAGAGCACTGAGGTTAGGTAAAAAACAAAAACTCTGTCAAGGTATACTCACTGTTTACTTACTGAGCAACCCGCCGGCACCATAACCATATGTGCCATATGATGAAGTGTATTGTGAATAGGGGGAGCTGTAGGAATAATCACTGACAGGCACTACACTTCCACTGACCGCACTGCTCCCAACTGAAAAAGAGAGGGAAAAAATGAAGATTCAGTTATCTTTAAATGTTTAATTTAAAAGAGAAATGTGTTTCTTTTTAATGTTTGATGATGAGGTTGTTATGTTTCATAGCATAATTGAAAAGTTCAGATAGAAGTTTGCTAATTTTTAAAGTCTTCATTGAATGGAATATATGATTAATGTGAACTTTTGAGATCAACATTTAATTATTTGAAGCCATAATTTAGAGATTTCAAAATAAATTAATTCTGATATCTAGGAGAATTTTAAACAATATTTGAAAATATCTGCTATAATAAAACAAATTTCTGGAGAGATATTGATGTTGATGAAGAGACAAGACTGGTTCATTGTTGAACAAATGATAGAAACCATAGATCTGGAACATTTGTAGACATGATATAAAAGAAATAATGTTTGATTTGGTTTGGTAATTATGACTTGCTTCAGACTGTTAAAGAAATTGAAAATTTTGTAGATTGTCCAAAGATAACAGTAATGCAGCCCTTCAAAATATAAAAAATGCTAATGTCTTTCAATCTTCTTTTAATGAAAAACATGACAGGGACTTTGCATATAAAAGGTAGCTTCACTTATTTTCTATCTGCAAGATGAAATACTATTAATTTCCTAATGTCTACTTCATTAACATTTGAAGTAATGAATTGCTTTCATAACAGTAAAACATTACAGTTATGAAGGTAAGAACTACTTAATACCAATTACATACTATGAGTATTAATGGATGACTTTATCTTGATATTTTTAAGAATGTGTAATTGTTGGTTAATCTAATTTTGAATTAAAATTCATGCATGTTCCTCTTGGAATTTAAATTAAAAAGAGTCCTCTGCTCTTTTTAGAGTAAGATAATTTATGTTTATAAAATTTTTTTAAGTTATAAATACCACAAATTCATTCATCATGCTGTGTTAGAACAATGCAAGCATCAACACACAAAAAGCTTTTAATACGAATTTGTTGGAAGTAGTGATGTTATGCTAACCTTGCAATGAAGCAGAAGAGACAAATCAAAATGACAATATTATAAACTTGGGGATCTACCTTCAGGTCTACAACTCTCTAGAAGTAGGAATTCTATTTATTTTTGAAGTAGTGGTATATACTTTCAGAACTCCAATCTCTTGCATTTTTCAGAATAATGTTTAATAGGAAGTACTTCCTCAAATTAAATTGCAAGTAGGTAACACTTTTCAGTGAGAGACTTGGAAAATGTAGTTGACTACGATTGTAGACATTGTTTGATATTTTAAACATATCTCTGAGTTTTGTAAATGACTTTACTGGTTAATTCGGAACGAAAAGTAATTGCATTATGTTAATACTTTATGATTAACAGTTAATTATTTTTCTTCCATCCACAAGTTTTATTTTGTAGAATGGACAATCAAACTTTAATGAGTAGTGAGTTTGACAGTAGAATATTAAAAATCCATGAAAGAGAATGATTTGTTGTTAACCTTTTTTAAATTTAAAACCTTATTTTTGAGTTTAGAAATTCGAACGATTTCCTCATCGAGGAAAATAAAACGTTCTTTTGGAAGGAATTTTAATCTTCTTTATTGACAGTAACCGTTGGTGTTGAGTTGGGGGCTAGCAACGAAAAATACAAGCTGCAGTTCCGGCAGCCACGTCTTTTCAGAGTGGAGTCGCGTTCATCAGCAACCGGGGACGTGTCGGCGGAATACACTTGCCTGTAGAGTAATGGCCGAAGCTAGGGAGCATGGCGGAATAGGGCACGGCGGCGGCGGCGCCATTGTTGGCCGGTTGCAGCACGGTCAGGGAGCCCGGGTCGGGCGACCCGCTGCCCGCGGTGGCGGCGCCGGCGGCGGCGGAGGGCGCGCCCGTGGGCGCGGGGTCGGCGGGGAGGGACAGGGGGAGCCCCGGGGACGAGCCCGCCTCACCCACCGTGCTCGTGCTAACACCGTTATACGTGCTGCTCTCTGCCGTGCAAAACACAAACACTACGCTAGGCCAGCAGCCGACGACACACAAGGGCATGCAAACACATAAGGGAGACACAACGCGTGCACCACTCGCGAGGACTTTTGGGAACTGTTTGTGCTCGGCCTATAGGCTTATTTGAGTTACGGGATTGCACGTTTGTTCTATGAATCAATCACTTTGTTCACATCATTTCACAAAATATTGTATTTTGTGTTCTTAGTGGTAGCTTTTTGTGTACGTAAATTCGTATACATCAATATCAAAATAATTACGCTGTGAATATCATCTTTACATTTCCAGAGGTCGAATATAGAACTGAAGTTCCTATTTGCAATAGTACCTAATGAATTAAAATTATCTTTCGATCGGTAGTAGAGTAAACGTTCCCAAAAATCTTCGCCTGGTTTGTTATTAAAATAATCACAAGAAGCACTCGAGAAATTGATTTATAGATTAGGCATCATTCACAGTTATATAATGAGTCTATATGAATACACATATTAAGAAAAAGGTCTAATTTTATTTTCTATTTTTATGTAGAGATATTTGACTGGGTTTAATGATTGATTCACTGTCATTCAAGTTAAATATTATCCCAATTATCCCAAATTATCCCAATAAAATAGGCATCTATGATTTTATTAAAAATTCCCTTCGCAATTCTGAGCGGTTCAAGCAATCATGCCAGTGAAGCTATACTAAATAGTTAACTATAAGCTAGTCATACATCTAAACACACTCATAAAAATCAACATGCTACCGTATTAAATAAACACATAAAATATTGTTAGCATCACTTCACACTGTGAAAGAAGACAATAACATATACTGTACCATAAGCGAAAATAGAAAACACTCCAAAGAGAAAGATTATGAGAAAAATGATTTCTTCGACAACTTTAACTTTGACTGTTGCATATGTTAATGCTGTTGTTACTGTGAGTTAAGATGAACAAAAAATTTCATCACTAACCAAAAAAATTGTCAGTCAGGCTCATTAAAGTTATGAACGAAGAATGTACAAGGTACAATAGGGTCTGTATTTTTATCCATAGGATACGCATTTTTCTGCGGTGTTACAGACACCCAATCTCCATTCCCGACTGTTTATTTGTGTATAAAATTATAAAACAAAAGTTAAGGATAATTTTTATAATGGTAAATGTTATGTCATGCATGCATGCAAACATTGAAACGGGCATCACATAATCACACTTTGCATGCGGTGGCAGTGAGGGAGACGGCGCAATGGGCATGTCGCCGTGAATGTTTGCGGTTCGTCCCCAGGGCCTTGGGATGAAGGAAGGGAACATATGGTACGATGACTTCGTGTGTTTCAACTTAAGCGATACGATTCCTGTGCCCCCAGCACATGGGAAAAATGCACAGTTACTGCGCTGTACTTCTGACGTATATTCATATTATAAACTGGTTCGTATTATGCGACTCAAATTTATCTACGAGTATGTGCGTACCTTTGCTTTAAAAGCAATTAAATGAAATTATTTTTCATTGCGTACCCTATGTATTAAATACAGACACTATTGATAAAGAAGATCCTATTGTTGCTAAATTAAGGGTTATATATTAAAATGCTTTTATGTAACATTTATGTAGAGTCGCATAGAGAACCGCGAAGACTTAACGAGGTGACGCCCATTCTCACCTGGCTGGTAGGGCGACATGGAAGGATCCAGAACTCCACTAGGGGTCAGCTTCACTTCCGGCATGGTGATAGGGGCCAAGGGGGTTAGAGAGCCAGGACCTGTAGGAGGGTTGCAACCAACTTATCAAACAAATGCAACAAAAAATAAAACAAACAAAAAACAAACAAAACAAAATCATAAAGAAAATGAATAACGAAGCAAACTCAGTTTAATTAAACAAGATAAGTAAGCTAATAAAACATGGGAGATTATATACGTGATAAAATAAACTAAAATATGAGTTGATATCTGGTTTTCGAATTAATATGGCATGCATTTTTTAATTTTTGAGTGATAAACAAGGAATACAAATTAGTAACATTGGTCTAAGGAGAAATCATAACAACTAAACATCAAATCCGAGATTGAAAAATTAATGTTGATAAAAAATAAACAGTATAAACAGTAAAAAAATTAAGAAACAAAGAAGTGAAGGGTTGCGAATAGGAAAGCGGTAATGTGATTCGTTTTATATATTTTCAATACCAGTCATTCTTATCTACTAGCATTCAATTGAATCTTACACAAACCGGTTGTAAATCAGTAAATATAATAATTCTAGTTTGTTTAAATAAAGTGTTTGAATACATTTTGGTAATATAGTGTAAAGCGGCACGGTCTGTGATACAAAAATATTACTGCTTTGAATTTTAATTTTCTCCTAGAAAATACAATTGTTTCCAGCGAAGCGAGCAGAATGCGAAGTTGCTCATTCACTGGCAGATGTGTATTTTCGGGAATGGGCAGCGATGATCAAACGATCCACAAATAATTAATTGGATCTCAATTGTTGATAAATAAAAGTAACTTAAAACGAACACTGTATATTCGCTGTCTGATTGATGAGCCTCGTAGAAGGGACCAAGTCAGCTCCAGTTCTGAAAATCGCTCTTCACCTACCGTCGAAATTGGAAACGTCGTTAACTGTCCTTGAAGACAAAAAATAGATCTAGTAAAAAATGTGAGATCTATGAGAAAACTAAGAGATTTACACATCTAAGTGATAACACGTGCTATCACCAAACTAAAGAAATGGCGTTTGGCCGAGGCAATGTTCTGCAAGTTCGATCAACTAATAAGCTGAAACTTCCTTAACGAAGAAAATAACAATTTTTTGAACTTTGTCGTCAAATTGTTCGCCCCCCTCTCACCCTCCCCGATTCGGGGCGACTTCCGGCGGGGTCAGATAAGCAGATGAAAGAAAGGAAGAGGAAGGAGACTCACCGAGCGCCGAGCCGATGGGCGGCGTGTAGACCGGGGTGCTTTGCGACTGCGTCATGGTGCTGATGCTGTCGTACATGTCGGAGGTGGTGGTGACGGTGGGGAAGGCGCCCGGCTGCGTGTCGTAGTAGGGCGAGCCCCCGTTGGCGGCGCCGCTGCCCAACTCCGACAGCAGCTTGTGTTCGTCCTTTATGCTCCACTTGCTCGACCAGATCTGCGCACACAGCCGCCCACAACCGTTACGATTCGCCTCGAGGACGCAGCCGCGCGCCGAGTGGCGCGGTTCGGCGGGCGGCGGCGCTCTCCACGCACAAAAAGGGGGCGTTCACCCCCTCCCTTGGGGGTAAGCAAGCAAATTAAACCCCGGGAGACTCAAAAAGATTAGACGCGAGTTTTCCAAGGAAAGAAAATTCCTGGATCTTATATTGTGTCTCTGAGCCTACACAATAAATAATCGCATGATTTATCATTAATTTGAATAATTCCGAAGTGAAATCCAGGGGTACTCAAAAGATTGGACGCCAGTTCTGCAAGGAAAGAAAATTCCGGGATCTTATATTGTGACATTGAGCCTACACAATAAATAACGATGGTGATTTATCGTTAATTTGAATAATTCCGACGACATGGTTGTCTTTGAAAATATCGACAACATGGACACTTTTTAAAAACTACGTTTACTACAGTAGTAACTTTTTATACATAGGGGATGCTCCTTAAATATTCCTACAAAAACACGTATTATCTTAAACGTTATTTGAGGAAAATCCAGTCGGTTTCACGTTTAATGTTTTAGTTTTTAAAAGTAGTAGACTTATTCGCTATTTCCGGGCGCACAGTTCAATATTCTGTGATGCATAAGAACACGCGTTGCATTGTGTACTTAAGGTGGGGTGAGATATTCAACGACAAAAAACGCTGCGGGGCGACTTTTCTGTTTCGAGTGGCGCAGTTTTCCCGGCTTCCCAGGAGTCAAAACTTTTCGCTATCTCTCTTTTATTTCCAATCGCATCGCAGCGCATATGCAGTACGCAGTATTTGAACTGTGTTTCCGGAAGCAGTATAAAGAAATATAGATTTCTCGAAAACAAAAATGTTCGACGAGAAACAGTTTGCATCAATTTTATTCAAATGATTATGTCTACATAATTTCGTTGCCAGTTTATTTAAGGGACATCTCTATATTACTATTAAAATCTATTTCCCAAAATATTGACATGCTGTGATTGATTTACCCCATCATAATTTTAATTTTTTCTCAATTCGTGACAGTTAATTGACGAATAATTTTTATACCGTGAAAGAAAAAAGTATTTTGAATAAAATTAATACTTACATTCGAAAATAACTGATCACCATTGTACTGTGTTCGCTGTCGTTTGATTTCGTCTTCTGTGTGTCCGTTGAGGTCTCGATTTTCATCTGAAAATAACAGAGAAGCGCCGATATTAAAAAAAAAGAAATATTTGAATTCAAAAATGACATGATATCTAAATAGCATGAGTATTTTTCATATTTGCTTACATACTGAAGAGAATAGAGGAAATGTATAAGAGGATAAAATATAGTTTGTGTATTTACCAATCATTTAATTAATTCATTTTTAATAATTTATTTACACTCTTTGGGCGAGGATACTTTCGACGAATTTGCTCTGGACATAGAAATCAAGAGCAACAAAATTTTCAGAGGAAAATCACTTTGTTATTCAAAGGGCTGGGTTAAGAAGGTAGTACGTTGGTCGACGAAGAAAAAACGCCTCAAACGCAATATGTGTTTCCCTGTCGCAAGAAATACATTTTTGAGACGCTGAAAACAAATTAAATTCAAACACCTACAATGAAAACTGGATATTTTGATTACGATGTTACATTGTAGCTCCTCTATTTGTTACAATTTGAAGTGTGTGTGCCTCTGTGTGTGTGTGAGATAGATAGAGAGAGAGGGAGAGGGAGAGAGAGAAAAGAAATAACAGAAAGAAAGAAATAAGAAAAGAAAAAAAGAAAAGAGAAAAATAATTTTAAGTAGTAAGGCTTGAAATGGAGATGATGCATTCTAAATTGATGTAAAATAATTATTACTTGACCTCTAGATGTCAAATTGGCGAAAACATTTGTTTGGTTTGGTTATGATAGTATTATTTTATTGTTTGTGGCGAAAAAAAAACCCAACAACGATCGATTATATGTGTAAACGCATAAATGAATTAATTTAAGTTGCCAGATGAATTAAAATGCGTAATCTTATTAGTATTATTGTGTTACACCAGCAAGCAGTTGTTTTCAGAGATTTAAATACGCTTGTTTACGAAAGTTTCTCAAACTGAAACGTATTTTTTTAAAGATTCGTTCAATATTGTGTATTTATACTTTGTGGGTTTTTTTCAGAACTAAACAATAAGTTTACATTCTTAATAAATTAGATATGATATTCAATTATGTTAGTGGATTATTCCCAAATTTCCTTCAAATTTCGTAACAAATTTATCCGATCTCAAAACAACGCTTTATCTCCCGCGCATTTGTTTCTCGCTTGTCACCCTCTGCTTGCGTCGAAGAAGCGAGCCTCTCTGAATACCCATTCAGGCCACCTCAAATGCGTCGAATCATTTCGCAGGCGTGCATGGGGCAGATCGGAGCGCGGCGTCAACCGGTAGCCGCTCCGCCGTTCCCCCTAACGAGCCGCTAATGCCACGAATCGTCACGCTGGCGGTTCGAGTGCCCATTCGACCGCCGCGCGCTCGACACGTCGAGATAAGCGCGCTCTGAGACGCGCGCTCCGCGCCGCGCCGCCTCGCGCCGCGCCGCTCGCCTGTTTGTGAAGCACGTTCTGCGGCGGGGAGCCTCGACGCGGCACGCTCCGCAGATGCCAAATGGAATTGACGGTATTAAATTGTGGCGTGCGTGTTGACGCTCTCTAGAGGATGATATCCTTACCCGTCGGCGGAATGACAGGCGAACAAAGCCGCTAATGGAATTAGAACAGTTTGCGGCGGCCGCGTTGTGTTTTCAGGAATTACTCTGGTTTCGAATTTGCGGCTCATAATTCAATTAGTCTTTGACCTCCGAGAGCGTCGCTCACCGTCGCGCGCGCGGCTCTGTGTGGCGGCGAGAGCTTCCCTGTGAAGCGTCCTGC